GGACACATGCTCGAGCTTTAAATCAATTGTTTTACAAATTTTCAAAATCCCTCATTTTTGCGCATTAAATTAATGTATCAGCACATTAGATTAATGTATCTCACGCATCAGATTAATGTATCATGTATAAAATGTAATGTATCTTACTTAACGATTAATGTATTAGCGCTTATTTTAGTTATGATACATAAATTCAAATTTATACTAAATGTATCTGATACATAACAATTACCAAACAATAATGTATCGATCTAAAAAATTACTATAATGTATTTTTAAAAAAATTTGAAGTGTTGTAATTCTCAAATAAAATAACAGACACAAATAATAGTGTATCAAACACTATTTTTTTAGTTATGATACGTAAATTCAAATTAATACTAGATGTATCTTATGCATAACAATTACCAAACAATAATCTATCGATCTCAAACTTAAAATCTTATGGGTAACACTTACTTATTTAATATATCTAGTAAAAATATAATATCTATCAATTCAATTGAAAAAAATTTCATGATCTCAAACAAAAGAACATACATAAATAATAATACGTCATGCACTAATTGGTTAGTTATGATACGTAAATTTGAATTTATACTAAATGTATCTGTAACATAACAATTGCCAAATAATAATGTATTGATCTCAAACCTAAATTTTATGGGCAGCACTTTCTTATTTAGTGTACCAAGTAGAAATACAACACTTATCAATTTAAATTGAAAGGATCTTCATGATGTATCTTCTTGAAAATTTTGATAATTTTTAATCAAAATTGAAAAAATCTTCAATGAACTAGGAGAATAATTTTGAAATTCAAAATTTTCGTCAATTTTGAATCAAAATGGAAAGGATCTTCATTGACTGGAGAAAAATTTAAAATCTCAAATTTTTTGATAATCTTGAATCAAAAATCGAAAAGATATTCGATGAACTTGAAGATTTACAAAAGAAATCGTTTGTCCAACAACAATTCCATACAATCCTTCATAACTCATCTCGCTTATCAAAATTTCGACAAATTTTTTTATGAAACAGAGAGAACGATGAACAAGAAGAAGAAATTTAATTTTTTGATTTTTTTGAATTGTTACACTATATGATTTTGAATTCTTGATAATAATTTTGAATGAAATAACGTAATTTGTGGAATCTTAATTTAATTTTCAATTAATCTCCTTAATTAGTGAAACAAATGGATACTATGAGATTTTAAATTGATTTTACAGCTTTTTTTTCCTTAATAAATGCAACAGATTGATACATAATGTCTCAATAATAATGTATCCGAATCCTTAATTATGTATCTGAAATGTCTAAAAAATATGAAATTTATGTAATTATAAAAATAATAGGGATAGAAGATAATTTAGGTTTTACACTATGATATTTATGTAAGTTATACTACATTATATGCAAGTTGTTTGTCTTGAAATATATATAATTTTAAAAACTCAAAACATCCATTACAATACGAAAATAGTTATAATATTCAACTTAAAACAAAAAATATTTTTATAACTTAATTAATGGTTATTAGTGAAAGTTCGATTTCCACTTTTTAACGAGTCAAGTTTAGGTATGAATTGAATCGGCCCACCAATCTTTACTGACGCATGCTCAGACGTAAGGCCCATAAGTCGGCCCAATCAAATCATCCACCTATAAATATATACACGCTAGGGTTTCTTTACAATTTCGTGTTTCTGAAGCCGCCGCCTAACAATCCCAAAGAGAATCAGCGATGGGTCGAAGTAAGTTTTTCTCTCGCAAATTTATGTTGATTTTCATCTTCCTTTACAGTTTTAGCTCAATTACAGTCCCTATTTGCAGCGAAATGATACATTCGATTTATCGATGTTTGGTCTAGTAGATGTAGATGTAGAGCACAATGAATTGTAGGATTTTTTTGTAAAGAAGTTGGGGGAGGGGATCATAAAGGTGGTAAATGAATCGAATCCTTGCCAAGTTTAGTTACGAAGATTCCCCAATATTAGTATTCATATAGAGACTAGAGATAGTAAGAATGTATTGACGGAGCTATGCTCATTTGAGTTTATAGTTGATGGAGTTTTATGATGTTGCTTCAGTTCCTGTCATTTGAGACCAAGCCACTCGACTTCTAGTCCTGCAAGTGATAAAATTGGGTAGCTTATTCATGATGATAAAATTTGTGGGAGTTAGTTTTAATTTGTGGGAGCTACATGTTGTTGCTACAGTTCGTGTCTTTTGATACTGATTGCTGTTCTACAAGTTTTAAAATTGGTAGCTTAAGGATATAAACTTTGCCCGTTAGTTTTATGATGTTGCTACGGTATGTGTCTTTTTGCTTTGGTCCTAGAAATGATAAATTGGTAGTTCAAAGATAGGACATTTGCCCTGTTTTCTTTTTCTTGCAAAGCGAACTTTTTTCTGCAACCATATTGAAAAACAGCTGAGTTATCATCGTAGTAGAGGAAAAACGTGTAAGAGAACAGTTTTTCATATGGTTTTTAAATGTAACTTGTGAGATTTTTTCGATGAATCAATGCAAATGGTTAAGTTGATGATAAAAAATGTATCTTAAGATGCACCAAGTCTTTCTGTGTATGGGCATACACAAGTATGACAAGGCTCACCACCTTTTTATTATTCTTTGTTAGTGAAAGTACAATTTAGTTGTTCTGCACTGTATTATTGATATTACTTTCTTTCAGGACCTGCAAGGTGTTACCGCCAGATTAAGAACAAGCCTTATCCAAAATCACGGTTTTGCCGTGGTGTCCCAGATCCAAAGATCAGGATCTATGATGTGGGTATGAAGAAAAAGGGAGTTGATGAATTTCCTTTCTGTGTGCACTTGGTCAGTTGGGAGAAGGAGAATGTTTCAAGTGAGGCACTTGAAGCTGCTCGTATTGCTTGCAACAAGTACATGACCAAGTCTGCAGGAAAGGATGCTTTCCACCTCAGGGTTAGGGTCCATCCCTTCCATGTTTTGCGAATTAACAAGATGTTGTCATGTGCTGGGGCTGATAGGCTCCAAACTGGTATGAGAGGAGCTTTCGGTAAGCCACAGGGAGTCTGTGCCCGTGTTGCTATTGGTCAGGTTCTTCTCTCGGTTCGGTGCAAAGATGGCAATGCTAACCATGCTCAAGAGGCTCTTCGCCGTGCTAAGTTTAAGTTTCCTGGCCGACAAAAGATTATTGTCAGCAGAAAGTGGTATGACTTCGATCTACCTAATCACCTTTAATTTTTATGTCCTGCATTTGTTTGTGGAATTAATTATTTCCCATACTAACTTATGGTTGGTTATGAAGGACTGGCTTGTCATTGTGCTATTTGTTTTTCATGACGATTGTACAGTTCTGTAGGATTTAACATTCTACGGGTTTTGAAAGTCCTGGGTTGGTTTAGTAGCGCTCATTCTAGACAGATCACACAAGCTTTTGATGTTTCAATGTCTTAGTTATTTGTGTCCCCTGTACCATCGTTTGGTCTCTTTTTCTAACATAGTCAAGGGGAGTATAATGTCTGGTCCAATACTTTTGAAGCCTCTTTTAATGTTAATACACTTCACATTTTTATTCGCAGCCTTACTAGAACAGTATCTGTGCTAGTCCTTGTACCACTGTATCTTTGAGTGCTAATGTGCTTACTTTTTAACTGCAGGGGGTTCACTAAGTTCAGCCGTACCGATTATCTGAAATACAAATCCGAGAATCGTATTGTCCCAGACGGTGTGAACGCCAAGGTTTGTTTCACTAGTGATCTGTTTATATTATTACAAGCTGCATTGTGATAGAATTTTATATCAGATCTTTTTGCCTATGTATTCAATGTAATATTAGTGCTTTTACTTGTGCTTTTGCAGCTTCTTGGCTGCCATGGACGACTTGCTGCACGTCAACCTGGAAGAGCTTTTCTAGAAGCTGCAAATTGAAGTTGCAGAATTTACAAATCTGTACCTTTAGCTTTCTACTTCCGCTGAATGAAATTTTGTGTCTTGATCTTCTATCTAGTTCTGAACCATTATATAAGTTGTTACCGCTCTGAACGTTTACCTTTTCAGAGTATAATTATTGGCTTTTATTTTAATGATGATAAGTTTTATTTTACATTTTGCTGTCCTTGGACGTTCTACGTCGTGTCTTACTCATGCGAGCTGCATCTTAATTTTCTTGATCATTGGGTTTTTGGTCAGTATTGGTTTCTGTTATGATTTTCGCTTGATCATGAGGATACAATATTCCCTACATTTTTGCTCGGTTAAAGCTCATTGTATGAGACTTGCTTAGTGTAGTTTACCTCTTCAATTTGCGGGCTATTATATTTAAAGAGTAGTCCTATATATACACACATGAATTATGAAAGATAGTAACCGAGAACTTCCTTGTCAACAACAAAAACCATATCTATTTCAATTACATTGCAGATGCAGTTCTATCCATCCTACATTGGTCAAGCAACGTAATTTGGAAGACCCATCGACCTTAACGCATGCATTGGTTCATTGCTGAGGTGAAGTACAAGTGCAGCAATTTTAGTTTCTTGGCAGACTTATGTAGGTTGCAACTTTTGATAACTACAAGGATGTAGTTTGAGTTTTAGGTATAAATGAGGGGTGTTTTAGCTATTTAGATCGTCTTAGGTCACGATACCTGTTTAAATTCTAGTAGAGATGAAAAATGCTAGGGTGGGACAGGTACTGTTGTAAGATAACATATACCAGTGAAATATTGAAGATGTGTTTGAATTGACTCAATCAACACTTCATTGATCAATATAAATAGTGAGGGAGCGAGTGTGCTGAAAAAACTTGACAAACCACATGATCTTGAATGGTTCCGCTCAGGAACCAAACTATTTCAGACAACCATATAGACCGATTACTCACATAAAACGTGTTGAGAACGTTAGAAGCCCAGTCAAGAAGTTCTATTGAAGGACTGAACAGGCAACCAAAATGCCAATGATTCTTAATAGTATTTTGAAGGACACATTTAGAGGGGGAGCATTCATCATGGCAACTTGAAGATCGTTGATATAACTTCATAGAAGAATTCCGAACACAGAACAAATATGCTCTTCCAAAAATAACAAGCTAAGTTGCTTCAGAGCATAGTAAAGCAAAGTAAAAATGGTGCAACAGAACTGTAGTTGCATTTCTTCAACTGTCAAGAGTTACTAAGGCAAGTTGCCTAATTAGCTATTGGCAAATGAGATTTACTGCCAAATATTTTAACATGTCTTTGCAAAATCTTCACAAAACTTTGGTATGCTTACCCACAACAAAAGGGTTTGATTTCTCACATGTCTACAGAATGATGCTTCTCTACTTTCTTCTAGTACTGCGTCTCGTAGCTGAAGTCACTACTACAGAGACCTCTTCTTTAGCTATTGTTGGAACTTCTGGTTTGTTGCTACTTTTCTTTTTTTTCTTTGTTTCACTCTTTGGTGTTTCTTCTGCTTCACTTTCTTCTTTTTCTGCCTCGGATTTATCCACTTCACTTGAACATTGGGATGCTCGAACAATGTAGACCTATAAACATTATAAATAAGAATACCTGAATTAACAGCAACAACAACATACCTAGTGTATCCAACGAGTGGGGCTAGGAAGGGTAGAGTGTATGGAGACCTTACCCCTACCTCGCAAAGATAGAGAGATTGTTCCCAATAGAGCCTAGGTTCAGTAAGGATACTTGAAATAAGTACATGAAATCACTTAGAAAAGAAGAACTATTGAAGGAACGGGTAGTCTGGACTGGCAAAGAAGGGATTGAAGCTGTTTGTCTACAGATTTGCAATAACATCACAAACGAGACAAGCTTATGCGTTGACATTGAGATCTTTCATAAGATCATATGATAAGTCAGCTTATTCAACGGATTAGAGTGTTGTATATCGAAATCCAACCTTAAATTTTGTGGGCTCGACCAACTCAAATACTAGAGCATCCCCATCATCCAGCTTATGATCAAGTGCAAAAGCTCTCCATCCTCCACTTAGTCCAGTTCTTTTGCCGATAAAGAGAGCTTCATACTCTAAACCTTCTTCATCCACTAGCAGAACATCTACAGTAGATTTGGGAAGATGGTCTTGACAAAATCTAGTAGGAAGTCCCTGATATCATTGCGCAAGATAGGCCATAATGAGTGTAGCATAAAAAAGGTAACGAACACTCAAATTTAAGCTAAGCTGACAAGTAAGCACTCTTAACTTTGACAGTGCACATCTAGATACCTCAATTTGGTCTCAACTAACAACTTAACACTCCAACTCGTCCACACTGTGTCTTGTGGACATTCAATGCTAACGTGACACATAAATTTCGGAGGTAGTTGATGATCATTTTGTAAGTTGGAGCGTTCAATTAACATAGTGGAGATGAGTTGAGATGTCAACATGTGCATACTCAAAGTTAAGAGACTTTTTTTTGTTGCTTCTTTCATTCTTCCTTAGCTCTAGTAGCTGAAGTCTATGGCAACTTACCAACCAGAAACAACTGTAGACATGGGATCGAACCATAGTCTTGATAAAAAATGGCTTATCCGACTGCAGATTACTCTGGAGCTTTTCCGCACACTTTAAAGCTAGTACCTTCTCTTCATATGAAGCAACTTTCACTTCTTCCAATGGTCTTGCTAGATAACTGCCAATCCAAAGCAATTATTCCAGAGTTCGGACAGAAGCAAATGGTATCAAAAATTCAAATTAAACCATCTCACCTTGCCCATGAAGAGCTGAATTTTGATCTCTTCCGTAAAGATGGAAGCTCTATATCAATCTGCGGTGATATAGATAAGTAACTAAGTGAAGAAATGAAAAACTGATAACCAGACGAAAAAACTTACAAACAGTGGATATAGCAAGAGATTTCACCAAAAATATTTATCAAGACTGTGTGTGAAGAGTTGTTTGCATCATGGAGTGCTTTATAAACTCTGTGTTTTCGCTAGATCTTATATTCTTCCTGCTTGTTAATTAGTAAGTAGGATCAGTAAGGTCAGTCTAGCTCTTTGCTTATACTCTTCTCTTTGAGGTTCGCTTTTATTTATTAATATATTATCAAACCTATGAAGATTTCATAATATTTCTCTTTATTCTGAAGCAACTGTCATCCATGAGGTGGTGTCCAGTATGTACTATGTACTGAAAGAAAAGCATGAAGTCTTACTTCATCACGGTATGTTGGAACAGGATTCCTTGCCCGTGCAGACCTTCTTGGCTCCGACAGGTACACATCTTTTGCTTTTTGTCTAACTCGGCGTAGCTATGCATGACAAGAAAACAATATCAGCTCATGCATGCTTACATAAGAACCGCATTATTTATTTATAGGAATGAAATGATCATAACATGTCACCTCAGTTTTATAGTCGGACTTCTTCTCAGACTTTGTAATATCAGAAAGGTTTTTAGATATATTCAAAATCCCCAGATCCTAAAAAGAAAAAAAAGAAGGGAACATAGTAAGAGATAGAGAAAGCAATCTTATAATTCCTACAAAATGTCATTAGCAGGTTATTGCTTCATTGTGAACTCTGCAACATATTTCTTTTACTACTATTAGAGGCCTGGATATGTTTTATACAACCAAAACGTAGATTTTTATTCATACATACAACTTTTCTCCAAAAGAATTTTCATCGTAACACTTATCCTCCATAATTGTTTTCAAAAACTTGAGAAGTACTAAATCCAAATGCCACCTAATGTTAGTACTTGTAGATTGTTCACGTGCAAGCCTTCAATCACTTAATTTTTCTTTCAAAGAAGCATCCAAAAGCTATGTTGTTCGGCTCTTCAAAAATGTCGATTGGTGCTTGTTGGATCCTCCAAAAGTAGTGCATTTTTAGAAGATCCAACATGAATGCAACAACGATTTTGATTAGTCTAAAAGTACCAGCAAAAGAACTAAAAGATGTTGTGCTTTAACGAAGTTAACTACCTCAAATCGTTTCTTATTGTCCAGAACCCTTTGCCTACGGAGCTCCTCGTAACTGTTGGTTTTGTCATTTGCCATTGACTACAATACTCAAAAGACCTTCTTGATCTGGAAAAGAAAAGGATGTGTATTGTAATGCACTTCAGAGCTAAAATGTGAAGCAAACACCAAATGTTCTTTCACCTGCTAATTGCATAGAGATAACCATTCATAGGAAAACAGTTGTCACCAATTTGAAGATAAGTTAGTGTAATGTTTAAAACTTCTACTATTTACAAAGACAATAACATATATCCAGAGTAATCTCACAAGTGGGGTATGGGGAGGGTCGAGTGTATGCAAATCTTGCTCTATCTCGTTGAGATAGTGACGTTGTTTCCAATAGAAATACAGAAAGGTCAAATATCTAAGCATCTAACTACAACTACTACAACAACTAATCCTCAGCTACAAACTAATTGGGGTCGACTCTATGAATCTTTGTTTCATTTGAACACATTTCACTCTTCTAGACTTCTACTTCACACAAAGAAACCAATCGATCAATTATGCCTCATTTCCAAAATTCTTGGGGTTTGAACACATCATAAGTGACTTCTAGTATTATTTTAGATATCAACTCTTTCATTATAACTTTTCTCGTGACATGTTTAAAAACATTTTGGTGCATTCTATGCACTTTTAGTTTAAAAATCACAAAATTCAAGAGTCATATTTACACAACAAGTCAAAACCAGACAAACAAATTGAAACGAAAGGAGTAGTTCCGTAACAATCAAAGGCTTTCAACTTTGAAAGACCAATAATGTTATAATAGCATGAAGAAAAAACCTAGTAGCTATCAGCATTCACTGCATAAAAGTACCAATATTTGGAACAAGAAATCCAACCCCCTCATCAAAGTATGCAACATTCCCAAGATTAGAGTAAGGATTTATGTTATAGATACTCATCAGATTACTAAATTAATACTTAAATCAAAAGATTTACATATAATTAGCTAAAAAATGATTATCAGTACAATGATAAAGACAGGAGAGAAATTAAAGAACAGCAAAAAAAAAAAGTACATAAAACAAGAAAAACAAAAATAGCCAAACCCAATTTATAAAAATAAAGTTTTTAGAGCAAAAATAATCAAACCTGAGGTGAAAATGCAGATGAAATTTGAGAGTTTTTTTTTTTTTTGAAATTTGAAAGGTAGAGAAGAGTTGAGAGGGAAAACAGTATGTGCGCCTCTTCAGCTTTGGGTTTTGTGCCCACATACATAAGGGTTTCTATTTATGGAAGTAAAATATACGCTTGTACGCGAATTAAATTATTTTTCAATCGTAATATAAAATTTTATCATAAGGTAATTCTTGAATATTTCTTACTTAAATCTCGTGTACCAAATGACCCCCAAGTGTCATGTATTAGTTGAACTATAGTTTGTTCCAATAACCCGAGCTATGGTTTGTTCAAATTTTGCGAAAGTTGTTGCTTTGAGATATTTTGGTAAGTTAATGATACGAAATATGTCACCTCTTTTAATTCTACGTATTAGTCTCAAGTGGAACAAGACTAATGCTTTTAAACTTATTAAGACGTTTTTTCGTACATATTTTAAGTGGTTAACTTATTTATATAATGAGCGCTTAAAAATATATATAGAAACTTTTAAACTTTTGAGTAATAAATATTTAATTGAAAAACATTGTATCACGTGTTTAAATATCTTAATTGAAATAGATCATAATTCTTTTAACTAAATAAATGATTAATTTTAGAGTTTGGTTAATGTAAGAAATTATGTTATGGATCCCAAATACAAAACTTGTTGCAGTGCATCTACTTAATAACCCAAAAACTATAAATCTAAATTAAACTTTGTTATGCTTAAAAATTCTCATTATTTTGAAATAATAGTTGGAGACTCAAATAATAGATATGCAAGCATTATAATATTGTTGAAACTTGTGTGCATAGTAATATTTGTTTGGCCCTGGTAACATTCAATATTCAGTATCCTAATTTGGGGTCATATTGAAGTGATCTAATAAAATTAAAATATAAACTTACAAATTAAGATTTAAGAGAAATCTTTGTGCAAATATTTAGACTTGTAAAGGTATCTACTACTCGGATAACCGTAGTAATTCTAGAGCTAATACATGCAACAAACCCAGACTTCTGGAAGGGATGCATTTATTAGATAAAAGGTCGATGCGGTGGTTGAGTTGAACAAGGATCGATTACCCTTGCCAACTCTTAATCAAGCCAAGAAAACACATGATAATTTAATAAAAATTGTTCATTGTGCAATCACAATGGGACTTCAACAGCAAGTCAATGAAATGTATTACAAATTATTTTCAAAACTCTATTTCTGAATAAGATTTAGGATGCACAAGACAATCAAAAGACCCCAACAGAGAATTTAGTTGTTATTTATAGGGCGCCATACAAGTAAATTATCTTCAAAATAACAAGTTCCAAAAAAAAAATGCAACAATGGCAGCTTATTTCCTGTTGAAAACTGCAAAATGGAATAGAGATGTATCCAACAGACTGATGAAGAAACAGTTTTAGTATCTGTGTTCTAACTTCTCCTTTTCCAGGAAGTTCTGCACATACCTGCATGCACAAAGAATGCGGTTAGTGATCATTACGCGTACTGTCATCAACAAATCCAACCTCAAGAGCCAGATATACACACACACAAACACAGGTTGTGTTAATTATAACGACGACTGTTATATGCATTTTCAGGCACCTAAACTTGTCAAAAAAATTCATTGCATCTTGTAATTGATGAGGTTGAAACACAGCCAACTATCCAAACTAAAAAGAGATCCTCCCGAAAGCCCTAATCGAGAGAAAGGACGTCTTTCTATTTGGGAATTTGAAATGTTTGACAACACTCCAGCAATTATATATATTATTATGCAACTTATCTTTTCAAACTTACCATTATTTATTGTTTTCTTCCATAATGCTTGTATAATCCACAAGGCAAACTAAATATGTAGGTTTTGTAACCAGTCAAGTATCATAAAATGGCATAGATGTTTGAACTAAAGAATCTAAATTTTAGAAGCCCAAACATGATGAAGGTGTCAGCAATCAGCTCCTTTAAACAGGTCAAGTTTGCAAATAGCTAGAAGACAAACTAAAAAAGAGTTTATTGCATACTGAAACCTCAAACACCAGCTTACATGACATAAATCAATTTATGAGCGTTAACAAGAAAGTAATCCCTCTGTCTATTTTTACTTGTCCAGTATTGATTTGTCACATCCCTTGGGAGCAATAAATAGAAGACAATTTTACTATATCACCCACTGAATATAATAAATCCAATGCATTGGGAAATGACTATAGGTAATAACAAGGGTGAAAATTAGGAACAAAGTGATAAACTTCTTGATTTCAAATCTGTAAAAGTGGATATATTCTTTTTGATGACAAAGTAAAAGTGGATATCTAATTTTAGTATAGCGAACAAATAAAAGTGGACGGAGGAAGTAATTCTTCCATCCACCTTTACTTGTCCACTACACTAAAAGTAGTTGTCCAACGATACTTGTCCCGTTTGAAAACCAAGAGATAACTTACCCTTTTGTGTCTATTTTACTCTTGCTATCAAATACTTATTCAATACCTAATATGTTTCCCAAAGCATTAAATTGTTCAATATTCTACGTGTAATAGTAACAATACCCCTACTATTTATTGTTTCTTAAGGTGTGCCAAGTCAAGAGTGGACAGCCATTGATGGACAGGGGAGTAAAAATCAACATGACTAATATTTAGGAATTTTGAAAATACTGTAAATTAGGTTTAGGGTCCAACTCACATCCAAAAGCCAGCTCAAAGGGAGGAAGATTACCCTATTTTAATGCCATCGATTAGATTTCATTTATGAGCTACTACATACTATTAGAAAAATCACTCCATTTGAAATTTTTAGAGTTGGAGTTAAAGGATGGAATTGCGTTGGTTATAATTATTGCTGATAATATTTGGTTGTGTGAATGTAATTTCCTTTAAAAAGAAAAACTGAACTACAAATAGGCTTATTTTTTTATTTAAACAAATTACAGTAGATTTGAAAAAGAAAAATATAATGAAAGTGAGAAAAGTGATGAGAGACTTTTGGATGTCCTTAAATTCTTAGAAATCTTCATGGCCACACTTATTTTCAAATGAAGTGAGAAAAGCAAACTTTAAAGAGTAAAAAGAACTTCAGGACATAACAAGTTTTCTTGAATTAGACAGATTACCCAAGGATCCTTCGATCGTTGGCAATTACTATATCTCCAACTTTAGCAGCATAGGCATAGTTCCATGATTATGAAGATTGAAGAGTGCACACAAGGCAACCAATATAATACCAATGCAATAACATCTATCAAATCCTAATTTGATACTATTGTATGTTATTAGGATTCTTGATCCATAAATCACCTATATTCACCTCACTAGGCTCTACTTATGTCAAAGTCCCAAAACAACCAATCAACCACGCCTAAACATTAATTTAGATCGGGTCAGCTATATGAATGTCCCCGAAGAATCTACTGTTTCAGCTTCAAACAGTCAAACTCAACGGATAAGGGTCCATCCCACCTTTTACCAATTGACCATGAGCAATACATCACCCATATTAACCATTACGCTCTATTTAGGAGAATATCATATATCAAAACAATCACAAGCACACCTCAATACTAAATTAGTTTGGGTAAGCTATATAAATCCCCTACATCAATTCTTTCACTACCGAGGAATCATATGCTTCAGCTTCCAAATTTGACGGATAGTAAGCCACCAACCATTTCCAATTGCACCAAAAGCCTTGTATCCATAAATCCCCTATATCCATTTCCGCTCTAAGGAGGTCAGATATAAAGGAAAAAACATTACAATTGACTAATCTTCATTACTTAATTAGCTTGAATTGGTTATACAAAGTCTCTATATCCATTTCTCTATCCGGGTCCTAGCCCAAAAGAGAAAAATCCCCAATGTCGATTTCTCTACTCGATAATACGCCTCTTACTTTGCCAATTGAACCAAAACCATGTAACTTTAAATCCCCCATGTCCATTTCACTATAATCAGGTCAAAGATCAAGAAAAAACAATCAATTAACCAAGCCTCAATATTAAATTAGCTCCGATTGGTTGTACAATATCTCTATATCCATTTCTCAGTTCCGGTTTTATACCAAGAAAATGAATGCCCTATATCAATTTCTCTAGTCAATAATATACCTCCTATCTTTTCCAATTGAACCAAGGCATTGTACCATATATGCTCCATATCTATTTCGCTCTAATGAAGTCAAGAGATTGATTTAAAAAAACAATTAATTAACCACACCTCAATATTAAATTAGTTCAAATTGGTTATACAAATTCTCTATATCCATTTCTCTATTTTGGTCATAGCCTAAAAGAGCGAAATCCTCTATATCAATCTCTATACTCAACAATATGCCTCCTAGCTTTGCCAATTGAACCATGTACCCTTAAATCCCCTATATCCATTTCCACTCTAATCAGGACAGATCTTGAGCAAGAAAACAATCAATTCACTATGCCTCAATACTTAATTAGCTCGAATCAGTTACACAAATTCTATATATCCATTTCTCTGTTCAGTTTCTAGCCCAAAAGAGTGGAATCCCCTATTGCAACAAAGCCCTGCACCCATATATACCCTATACATATCTCGCTCTAACCAGGTCTGATCTCGAGAAAAATTAACCAATTACCTACACCTCGACACTAAATTAGTTACAGTAAGTTACATAGATCCCCCCAAAGTCCATTTTTTTACTACTGAGGAATCCATATTTCAGCTTACAAATTTGATGGATAAATACCTCATACCTTTGCCAATTGAACCAAATCCCAATACCCCATAAATTCCCTATACACATTTCACTCAAATCAGGTCAGATATCGAGAAAAAACAATCAATTAACCAATTTGTATAGCTATATCCATTTCTCGATTCAGGTCCTATCCCAAAAGAACAAAATTCCATATTGTACAAATATACTGTACCCAAAAATCCCCTATGCTCATTTTGCTCTAATACGATTATAAATCGAGAAAAAAACAATCAATTAACAAAGCTTCAACCCAAATCAGCTTAAATCGGCTACACAAATCCTTTCCATCCATTTCTCTCCATACAGGTCCTAGACCAAAGGGAAAAACAAGTGAATTACGTGAAAAAACAACAGCGAAAACACAATTAACAGTACTTACGAGTAGGTTCCGACGAGTGGACCAAGCAAGAGGGTAGCGCTGATCCAATTTTCAGACACTTTGTGATGGATCTTACCAGGAAGATCCTTCCATAAACCAGGCATAATTTTCTGTTGAAATGGAGATATAGCGTATACAACAGCCTTCAGCTTCACCGGTTGCTTCCCCATCTTCCTTCACAGCGAATAGTGATTTGCTTCGATCCTGAACAAATCTAGGGTTTGTTGATTTGAGATTTGGAGAAGAAAATGGAATTGGTATGTTGGTAAAGAGTAATTTGGTTGAAAAATGGTTTGGGCTTCTGGGCTTGCCTTCTCCATCTTGAATAATGGGCTGCAAATACTTTTTAGAGATAATTGTATATATAATAGCAAACTTATAATCTAAAATAAATGAAGTAGCTATTGTTTGATTTAATTGTGTCTTATAGTAAACGTTTTCCTATATAACTAACCTGCAAGTAATATGACGACAACCTTCACTAAGTTGAACAAAAGAGCGACAGTTAGGACACCTCTACCATTTTTCATCCTTAGCAAGCTTATCAAAAGCGACGTCGTTTTCATCTCTAAATGCTCCACTCACCTCGCATTGAATCCAGCATGCCATGGAATTTTGCACTGGAAGAAAAATAATCTCTTGCAATTTGGGCACTTTGATTTCGTTGCAACGTCACCGCACTCATCCAAAATTAAAGCAGAGCAGTTGTGTCAACCTAAAACAGAGTACTTACACAACTTTTTAGACTATTTATCAAACAGATCGGAATCCCAAATATTCTAGCAACCAATAGGGTCCAAAAGTTGGTTACAATTCGGAAACGGACAAGGAATTTTTACTACACTGTCAACAAGCTTGACAGAAATGTATGTTGTTATACAGTCGATGTAGAACAGATGAACACAGAGATTTTGGTTCTTAAATTCTGTACTAGGTAACAACATAGTCTCCATACAAATTTTGCAGCATAATGGTGAAATTCACTTAAGTATACATTACAAACATTTTACTTCGATTCAATTGTATACAAATGCAAATTTTATACAAATATTGCAGCGAAAAAGGCCAGCAAATTATACAATTGCAGTGGAATACAATTTTCTCTCGCTTTATACAACAGAGGTGTATAAATTGTGTTTCTGTTTTTTGTATAACGCGAAAGAAAACATATATCTTTTTCCTATATACTTATAATTATACAATAAACATTTTACTTCGATTCAATTGTATACAAATCAAATTTCAGCGAAATAGGCCAATGAATTATACAATTTGCAGTGAAATAAGTCAGCGAATTATACAGTTGCAACAAATTATACAATTTAGGCCAGCAAATTATACATGTATATGTATAACGATGCCAACGATTTATACAATATAGGCCAGAGAATCATACAATTGTATATGTATAGCAAATTATACAGTTATATGTTTTGCTATGGAGCGCAATTATGCAAAGTTTGCTATAACATACAGATATGATTTTTTTATTTGCTATATGTGAAAGTTACCCTACTTTTTAAGGGAAACTTTTACATATAGTCACTTAAAAAATAATTAATTATTCTTCATGTTATAGTTTAATAATTACAATTTGTAGCTACATGCTATATGGAGGAGAGATGCGAGCGAGACTGGGAGAGAGAGGATAGAGGCGAGGGTGAGATGGGAAAGAGTGGGATAAAGGTGAATTGTATATGTATACTGGTTAGATAATTATATATTATACATATGTATTTGTATATCTGGCAGGAGAGATTGGGAGAGGGAGAAGAGAGGCGAGCGAAACTGGGAGAGGAAGGAGAGAGGCTAGCGAAATCTCGAGAGAGTAGAGAGGCGAGCGAGAGAGGGTAGAGAGTGGGAGAAAGATGAATTGTGTATATATATAATTGTATAATTATACATATGTATTTGTATATGGCAAGCGAGATTGGGAGAGGAAGGAGAGAGGCGAGCGAGATTGAGAGAGGCGAGTGAGAGAGGGAAGAGAGTGGGAGAGAATTGAATTGTATATGTATATAGGTTAAAAATAATTGTATATAATACATATGTATTTGTATATCGTGGTGAATTATACATATATAAACCTGACTAATTATACAAACTCGAATTCAACCCATGTAATTAATGTATAATGTTAGTCGCGAGTGGTAATTATAGCAAACTATAGCTATGATGAGTAATTAAATAGTATAAAATTGCTTAGCTGCGTAATTTTTCTTACTTTTAATATTTAGCCATCGTTGTTATTGAAAAATGATTAATTTTTGAAAAAATGTATATATAATAGCAAACTATTAATTCAAATTAAATCATATAAACATAGTTTGATTTAATCGTACCTCATAGCAAATTGTTGCTTGCTCGTCACTCTCGTTCTCGCTGGCAGTCTAGTTCGCCTCTCACGCTTTTATACAAACACAAGTGTATAAAATGTGTTTGTATTTTTTATAAAGCGAGAGAAAATTGTAAATATACATATATCTCCGTTCCTCTCTCTCCCCTCTCTCAAATTTCGCTTGTCACTCTCCCAAATCTCGCTCACCTCTCACACTCTATACAAATATAAATGTATACATTCTATTTGTATAAAGCGAAAGAAGATTATATATACAAATACAAATGCATATATTTTCATCCTATACACTTATGGTTATACAAATACGATCTTTTCCGATCCAATTTTTTTTTCTTTCTCTTTCTCGCTTTACACAAACACAATTATACAATTGATTCTTTTGTATATGTATACCGAAACAAATTATACAAATGCTTCTTTTGTGTATATGTATAGTGAAATAGCCAGCTTCTTTTGTATATATGTATAGTGAAATAGCCATGACAAACATAAAGTTTGCTATGGAACACAATCATGCAAACTCTATCGATAACATACAAATATGATTTTTGTGTTTGTTATATGCGAAAGTTGATCTTAATTTTTTATATATAAGAATAAAATTTTGATAAACATATCTTCAACTAAATTATGAAGACGAGAGATGCAGAAGTCCAGTGAGTAGGTTCGAGAGATTTAATGTAGTGAGATTCAAGAAAAGTAAGGTAGTTCAGAGAAATATTGAGAAAAGGTGATTACTTTTGATCGATTAACCGAGGACATAACCTTAGATAGAAAATTGTCGAGGTCGCAATTTAGTCATGATTTAATTTTTTTGCAATGTTATAGTGTTAAGGTATTTTCTTAGGGTTCTTTTGTGTTGTAAAGGGTAAAGTGTTCATCTTAATGTATATATTTGTGTATGTAATATGTATATCAATGTACTTTTATGTATATTACATTGTTATTATATGACCCACAAGTGATGTGCATATGATATATGAGTGATATGCATGTGATATACATGTATTATATAATTTATAGTCGTAAATATTTAGACTTATAATTTAGGTAATATATTTTGTTTTCTTCCGATAATTCTAAATCTTATCAACTATTACATAGTTTGCTAGCTGCTTAGAGTTATACAAATATTAATAAGGTGCGAAGTAGAGGTGATGTTATAATATATGTATTATTTTGTGCAACTCTTAATTATGCATGGATAAATTATTCATAATTAGTTATTATACTTTTTATCTCGCATAAAATAATAGATAAATGCTCTCATGACTTATATTTTTATAAATATTTTAGTTATGTGGATTTTGAATCATCAACCAAACGTCATATTAAATATCATATACTCCATCTGTTCACTTTTAATTGTTGCGTTTTTTAAAAATGAGTTTGATTAATTTTTAAAGTTATTAAACTGTGTTAATTCGATATTTTAAACAAAAAAATTAGATATTTAAAGATATACGAAAAGTAATATAATTTTATTTTTTTACACATCAATACGATGAAAAATATATCGTAATATATTGATCAAAATTTAACTCTAAAATAAGAAAATATAACAAATAAAAGTTAATAAACAGAATACGTGATAACTCATAATATATGAAGAGATTAACTTATATTCTACTGACAGTGGACAAAATAAATTACACTATTAGCTTATTTTTAGAAATACTTATTTTTTAAAATATATTACTTATTATTAATATTTGAATAATAATAAAAGTATTATATGATAATTTGAACTCTAAATTAATTGTATGAGTTTGTTAAGGATTCTTTTTTATTGCCAAAGATAAAAAAAAATTTTTGCAGTGTTTTCTTGTACTCATTATTTTTACCTCATTCTCCATCAACATCATTGCAGCAATTTGAGACAATCATCAAGGATAACTTTTTACTTTTCTTTTCTAAAAAAATCTAGACTAATTGATTTCATAAAAGAAAATTATTCATAACTTATTAAGTCTTCTTTCTAACATGAAAAAGTTTTTTGATAGATCTTCCATTGCTTCAACTTTTTTATTCTTAGTTCATTTTATTGACGATACCAAAATTAATTGAAATAACATTTGATTCATATACATTCATATGTATTTCAATTTATGTAAGTAATACTCAAAGTCGATAGTATAAAAAATATTTGAACCTTATTTCAAAATAATCTTTAATTTATAGAACGTCTTTAAAAAAAAAAACTAAAAGAATCATTAAACTTTAAATATGAAAATATAATAATTAAATTTAAAAAAATAAATATCTCTAAAACTGAACCGATGGTATAATTTTTTTTTATCCACCGTCAATGGATATAAATTAATCTCATATATATAAATAAATACTGAAACACAATTTAACTCATAATATATGAAAAATTACTAAACCACAATTTTTTATCACACGACTTTCTATATTTTATTTAGCCTCCTAAACGACATAATTAGGTTTTAAAACTTAGTGAAGTTATCTAAAAAGATATTTGAACCATATTTTAATGCCAGTCAAATATTGCAACTCTTGTCTCCCTACCCTACCCCTAGTATATATACCCTAACCCAAAGTTTATTTCATTAATTATTACTTAGCATGCACAAGAATTATGTTTTAGACAAATTATTCCTAAAATAATTCTATGGGCATAAAAGAAAGTGGTAAAACAACAGGAAGTGATCATTTTATCTTGTTAAAAAAAAAACATCAAATGGTTAGAGATTTAGACTACACAAAAGCAATATGATTATCATTATATATAGTTCTTTTTTCGAAAAAGATTTAAAAATACCCCTAAACTATTCGAAATAGGTCATATATAACTTAAACTTTATTTAAGCTTAAAAACTATCCTTTCCGTCATACTATTGGGTCAAAAATACCTTTCTTACTAACGAAAGTTGTTAAATGCCATGTGGATGTCATATGAATGC